AAGAAGTTTTCGATCTATTTTTCCATTTTGATTCAGAGGTAGTTTATTAAGTACAATAAATATTGATGGTATCATATGTGGTGGAAGATGAGATTGACAATGTTGACGTAGTTGTTCTTCATTGATATCAGATGATTGCACATAAGCAACTAGATGATCATCATTCCATTTAATGACAACACAAGCAGAGATGGATGATGTAGTGTTAAGTAAACATCGTTCAATCTCACCAAGTTCAATTCGTTGCCCATGAAGTTTGATCTGATGATCTTTTCTTCCTTGATAATGAAGAAGACCATTGTTATCCATTGTAACAAGATCACTTGTTCGATAAAATAGTTCACTGTCTATTGCAATGAGGGCTTTTGCAGATAAGTCATCGCGTCCAAGATACCCAGCGAAGACACCTGCTCCTCCCACAAGCAATTCACCTACTTGATTGGTGGCAGATGATTGTAAATATTCACTCATAATCATACATCGATAATTAGAGAGTGGCGACCCAATTGGAATGCTCTGTATAGTACTCGTAACGTGGATACAGTGAACTGTACAATCTATGGTTGTTTCTGCTGGACCGTACATATTCCATATAATACAGTTCGTTATACTGATTTTCCTTATCAAGCCAATCAAATGAACAGAAAAAGCCTCACCTACAACAGAAAAGATACATGCAATAAACCGATGAGATTGCTTTGAAAATCACTTACCACCACTACAAAATGATCGAAGATATTTTACAGCATTCATGTTCTTGTTCTGTTGAATAAAACTGAAAAATACGTATAGTAAACTTGGTACAGCTTTTAAATATGTGATTTGTTTGTTCTGCAAGACTTTGGATAAATACATGAAATCAAGAGTTCCATGTGGATGAAGCATAATCAACGTGCCTCCAACCAACAATGTACCAAGTATTTCTAGAGCATGAATATCAAATGAGCATCGTGCTATTTGTACAACAGTATCATCTTTGTTAAATAAGTTAATGTAAACGAAGGAATTGATGCAGTCAATAAAG